ACTTGGTGTAAGACAGAAAAAAGGAGGGAGGCTAGCTATCCTACCTGGCTGTTATCCTTTATTCTAGATAAAATGTTTCTGATTTTTGCTTGCAGCTTTTGTCCTCTTTTAATTGACTCATTAAGCTGGGTACTACTGGCTGTGTATGGTCATATTACTCCTTACTTATCATAAATATGGATCTCAGAGAGCTACAGGACTCTGAGCATCTGTTTTCACAAACACTCTTGCCTGCAGTACCCTCGCTCATGGTTTGGTATCTTTTTCTGGTTACAGGCTCAGCATTGGAACAATCAACTGTTTCCTGATCACGTTGGTCGTTTCTTTTGGCTTCTTTTCTTTAGGTAAGTAGGGAGACTCCTCTGAGTCTCAAAGGGAGAAAGCACCTTGCTCTCATCCCTTTACCCTTCTGGGGTGCTGTTTCCTGCTCTTCTTTAGTTTAAATGTTTTCCTCCCAGAGTTCCCTCCATGTCACTCTCTCTCTCTTGCTCTCTCTCCTCTTCTTCTGGTAGCTGCAGGGCGCAGTTTTTGAGTATTCCCTGTCCCGTGCCCAGCCAACCAGAACTGACAGGAACTAATAAATTGGGGCATCCCTGTTCTCCGTGTGTCCCACTCTCCTGCTCCTGTAAGGTTATCTAGTAAGTACTCATGCTTGGGGAACCCGCCTCAGCACTTTTTACGTTCTTCGGGGTTTCTTATTTTCTCCCCCAAGCTGGCAGTGCGATCTTCGCTGCCACAGCCACTCTTTGCTTTATAACATTTTTTATTATATTTACTTGATTCTAAGACAAGGTTTTTTCCCCCAGGTAACACGGGGAAAAAAATCCATTGTCTTAGAATAGCGTATGTGGGCAGTGAAGGGGCAAGTATCTGCTATTGCTCAGGCTGTAGCCCGGGGCGGGCAAGATACGCCTCACAGGCTGGATCTGACCTGTCAGGCCCACAGCGGCCCCTCTGAAAGACAATTATCTCCAGCCTGTGGCTTTCCCTCTGCCCTCCATGCAGTAGGTACCACCAGCAGCAGCAACTCTGGCTCTGGTTGCTAGGCAATCAATCCCCACCCCATCCTGGCCTGCCCCACACTGCCCCACCCAAGAGTTGGGAGGAGCTGGCTGCCACCAACTCCGGTAGCATCACAACCTCAACCAAGTGGCAGCTCATTTCAAGGTATACCACCATGCCCTCAAAGTAGAGAAGAGAGGGTGGAGGAAGAAAAAGGAGAGGAATCCCAACCTGTGGCCTACTCTCCCCTGTGGAAAGATCTACAACTTCTGTAGACAGATCTGTGGCTCAAGGATTGGACTATTAAATCACCTCAAGACCCGTCAGTGTGCTGTGGTCGAGACCATCCTCAAATCAATAGACTGTTGATGACTCCTGTTAATTCAATTCAGTATGCCATTGGCTTTTCTGGCAGCAAGAGCACACTGTCTGCTCATTTCCAGTTTCTGGGCTACTGTAATCCCCAGGTCCTTTTCTGAAGTACTGCAGCATAGCCAGTTACTCCCCAGTCTGTATTCATACAATTATTGTATCACTGGTGCAGGACTTTGCACTTGTCCTTGTTGAATTTCACCTGGTTGACTGTGGACCATTTTTCTACTGTATCCAGGTCAATGTGGATCCCAGCCCTACCTTCCAAAGTGTCTGAAACTCCACCTACTTCCACCACTCATTTGCTAAATGTGCACTCAATCCCCTCATCCAAATCATTAATGAAGAGGTTAAACAATACTGGACCCAGGACAAACTGCTGAACAACCCCATTGGATACCTCTCAACTAGACATTGCGCCATTGAGGACTACTCATTGAGCACAATATTTAACAAGTTATGTACCCACCTGTTGGAAACACATTTGTAGTAACTGCAGTCTCGTGGTATACAAACTAGTCATGCCAGTGCAGATGTCTTTCCTGACATGCTGCTGCAGATTTCTGGCCTATATGGTCCATCATTGTTATCACTCTCCCTCTATTGGTCCAATCTCTGCCACTAAAGAATTCCTGAGCATGGGGAGGGCTGGAAGAATCATGCCCAATACAGCAAGTCTCCCTGATGCCCAAACACTCTGGGAATTTAACTAGGTCACAGTATACAGTCCTGAATTGAACTGTAACTTCAAACTAACTGCTAACTCTGGTTCCTAATAGGCCTGTGCGAATCAGCAAGTATTTGCTTCGGATTTGGATTCAGCTGATTTGGAGGGACAGTGATTCGATTTGGGGATTTGAATCACTGTCCCAATTTGATTCAGCCAAGTCAGATTCAGAGATTCGGCTCTGATTTGGACATTTAGCCATAGACTGTAATGGGGAATCACTAAAATACCTATAACTGTCATTTTTTTGCAGATTTAGATGAAACCTGCAGGGTGGGTAGCCCCTTCTGAGGGCATGAAGCCTGCCAAGTTTCAAGGAGATAGGTGCAGGGGTTTCTGTGAAAGTGCACCTCAAACTGTTGAAAGCAAAACTCGTATCACGTGTGTGCTAAGACAGAGCAGGATGAGAACGGCAGGGATGGTAGCCCCTCATGTGAGCATGAGGCCTGCCAGGTTTTAGGCAAAGTGGTGCAGGGGTTTATGTGAAAGTGCACCTCAAGGTTCTGAAAGCAAATAAAAAAAGCAAATAGGTGCGGAGTGAGGGGGGTGGCACTCACTCCATCTGCACCTGGAGCTTGGGGAACCCCAGCAGCAGGAGGTTCACCTTCAGGAACACCAGCTGCTCCACCAAACCAGGATCCAAGGTGCAGTGGGGTGTCGCAACATCCCCAACAGTGCTGAACACCCTCTCACAAGTTGAAATGAATGGATAGGGATAAAAAATAGGGATTGTAGGCAAGGGTAAGTAGGAAATGATTGGATACAACTTACAAGAAGAGAAACTAGCTACAAAGAGAATAGCTAGCAAGCCAGAGCCTTTCAGACACTGCTGCTCCAAGAGAGAAACAGCTCACAAAAGGCACAGATCGCTTCAGACACAGCTTTATATGTTGTTTCTACATCCCTCCCCCAGAGCACTGTGATTGGAAGGGAACTCAGAGAAAGATCACGGTCACTGGCCAGCTACAGATCTCAATATCAAAGCAGTTTTTCCTCCCGTCTCAGCCTTTTCCATATATGGAAGATCACCCTATCCCCCTCCCCCTTCTCAGTTTCTGTTTGCTGCAAGCTGTCCAAATCTCTCTGAATCAATTCGGAGGCTTCTGATTTGATTCAGACCTTTTAATGGGTCTCCCAATTCAATTCAGATTCAGAGATTTGGCTGCCGAATCAGGCCAAATCTCCTCCAAATCAAATTGGCTACCAAAACTTCGCACAGCCCTAGTTCCTAACCATTGGCTTACATGCTACCTGATTTCCCACAGCTAGACTGGGAAGGAAGGCCAAAGCTTCTGCATCAGGATATAAAGTAAACCCACAACTTCCCTTCCCAGCCCAGAATCCAAGAGCATGGGGGCCATCTAAACAAGATATTAGGTTTAAGTCTGTGATTAAGTTTCTTAAAGTGAATCTGTATGTCTGTATGTTTCCCTGGTGCCACTGGAGTGCTGCTCTCAAGCATGTCCCACCCACCTGTTCCCATTCTGCATGTGCCAGTGAAGCCAGTGAAGTTGGTGCTCTTAAGCATACAGGACACAAAGTTCTAAAGAGCAGTAGCCAGGGGTGCCTTTGGAGCAATTTTGCTGCTTCAGTGTTGGGTCTGACCTGTGCAGAACAGGAACATGTAAATAAAGTATGCTCAAGAACAGTGTCCCTGTCAGTACTAGGGTATTACAACAGATATACCCTTAAAAGAGAAGGTACCAGACAGACAGAAGGAAGGAGGAAAGAAGCCCCCATGAAACGCGAAGCAAAGGATGTCTTTAACCTGCCTCTGTTGCCAGTCCCTGGCAAGCCCACCTGATTGATCTTCCAGTAGCATTTCTGTCCCATCTACTGTGGCCTTCTCCCTTCTCTGGTATAAAATGATAGTGGGATCAGAAGAAGATAGGGCATGGAACCGGAAGATGACTCCTGAGTCAATGAGTCCAGTCCACTGCTATCACAGGCAACAACGTTATAAAATCCTTTTCATAAACTTATATCACTCCATCATAAATCTAGTTAGGTTTCATGCTGCCACTACTTTAATGGGAGGCTGTCCTAGAACCTCACTGCTGTCATGATTTGGAACCTACTTATACATTTGCAGCTTATTCATGGCCAACACCATCCTTCTGCCAACACCATCCTTTAGCTTAGCTACTGTATTTACTTGATTGCAAGATGAGGTTTTTTTCTCCATTCAGCATAAAGAAAAAGATATTTCATCTTGTATTTGAGTATGGCTCAGGGCAACTAGCTGCTGCAACTGAGGCTGAGGCGCTGGCTCAGGCCAAGGGAAACCACATGGTATTTGGGTCAGGGAGAGGGACAAGCGCAGGGGAGACTGTACAATGCAGTGGGGAGCTCAGGGGAGATTGCGCAGCAGCAGAGGAACTCTTGTGTCCCAGCTCCAGCCCTGATCTGAGACTGGGGCTGGAGCTGCTGCCACTGCTGCTGTCTGGCCAGGACCAGAGCCACCACATGGCTCCATGCCCCAGGCCAGAGCCAGAGGCAGAGCCAGAGCTGTCACATAGAATAAATAGCAGCGAGGAGAGGGGGTAAGTGGAGTGGGGGCAAGTGGGGAGAAAGGGGCAGGCATCCTGCTGCTGCTTTCCCTACCACAGCAGTTGGCATGGGGGAGGGGGGGTGAATTTAAGATGTTAAATACATATTTGTTATAATCTTCTATGTATGGAATCTAATTATTGTGGAGTCATCTTACATTCAAATTCATCTTGGATTTGGGGAAATACAGTAGCTTTGTCTTGAGGACAATAGAATTCTCTGCTTCCCCCTCCCCCAGAGGTGGGCAGAAGGGAGTGGGTGGCTACAGTACCCCTGTGGAGATGGGAGCAGAGGATGCATTATTTAGGTCAATTTATCACAGCAACTAAAGCAATGGTTACAAACTTACTGGGAAATGTTCGCTAGTGAGAGCCATCTTACTGCACATTTCCACAAAATATTTCAAGTATTTTTCATCAAGGATCAAGTAAACAGGGATGTGTCGTCTGTTGGAAGCTTCTAACAGGTCACATAGTATCTCCATGTCTGTGAAGATATCCATCACGATTGCGATCACCTGGCCAAGAGGAGAAAAAGAGAGGGTTTTAATGAAATAGCACTCCTGAGAACAATGTTAAGTAGGTAAGTTCCCACCCACCAAAGGAAGGAATTAAAAGCCCAGGGGGCTGGATGCCACAAAACGCACACGCTTCTTGTAGTTATCAATGGAACACCAGGCCAGAGTTTCTAATGCACTTGTTTGTTCACAAAAGAGTGTCAGGAGGCTGAGAGCCTCACACAGAGCTTCAGACTACTGCATACCATGGGCCAGAGTCTAGACCAACTATTAGGCATCTAAATGAGATTCTATTTCACCCTGTTTAAATCCCTGAAAATTGATCCAGTGACTATTAACTACTGGTGTAATGCAGCTGTGAAAAAAAATGAAAGCAATTCTGGGATATATTAGGTTATGTATATTTAGTCCAAAAAGATTAACTTAAACTGAAGCAAATGTGAAGAATGGTCATGAAGATGGTTAACAGAACAGAGACTTTTTCTTCTGAAAGAAAATTAAAGGTGCTTGGCTTATTAACTTAAACAGACTGGTTTTTAGGGCTGTGCGAGGCTTCGGACAGAGCTTCGGATCCAGAGAAGCTTCAGATGTTTGGGGTCCGAAGCAGCATGTCCGGATCGAAGCGCTGGCTTCGTTAGGCTTTCCAAAGTGCTTCAGAGCCACCTTGGAGGTCCGGCCATAGGGCATAATGGGGAAACAATAAAATATCTATATATATATAGCCCACGTTCTAGGCCTCCATTACCCAAAGAGAGGTTGAAACTGCATTTCCTGCTTTCAGTTTCTGCCATTTGATTTTTGTAATAGCTTGCTTTGCTCTGCAATTCACCTGTGTCTGCAGCTGCATTTTCACAATAAGTGGTTTGTGCGCTCTGGTAAGGCACTCTCTGGAAATAACCCTACAATTTCTAACTTTTTTCAGTTCATTGTGAGAGAACATGAAAGCCAACACCCAACGCTTCTGAGAAAGGTAAAAAAAACCCCAAAAACCATGATGTAGCAGCAGGAGGGGGAAAAATTCCTTCCAAGCCTCATGGCAACCAGCAAAGCCCAGAAGTATGGGAAATGCCCATAGTAGAGCATAGGCAGGCACAGTTCCTCCTAGATCAGTAGTGCTCAACCTTTTTGCCCAGATGAGCAGTGTCTTGTCCGATTGTGGGCTGGATGGTATTTTCGATCTGGCACCTGGGGCTGTTGCAGCTCCACCATCCAGCCAACCATTCCCAGTGGGGAAAAGGGACTTCACCCAGCCTCCCAGGGCGGGGGAGGGGGGGAAAGGGTAGGACAAGACTTGTCCCCACATGGCGGGGGAGTGGGGGAAGTATGGACCAACTCCAGCCCAACCCTGCATGGATAAGGGGACTGTGGCCCAGCCTTGTGGGGGGAGATGGGGCATGGCCTAGTCCCGACACTGCTCTGCAAGAGGAAGGGGGCACAGCCTGGCTCCAACTGGGTGCACAGGGTTTGGGATTTGGGAATTTGGCAGGAGGGAGAGTGGCCATATTAATGGCCACCCCATTTCCCTGCCACCAAATTTCCTGACCTGTGGAGAGTCCTGTGGGTCAGGTGCAATAGTTCCATGGGCTGCATTTGGCCCACGGGCTGGAGGTTGAGATCCTCTGTTCTAGATCATCACTGTCCAATGCTTGTCCAACTTCTTCCTTGAACACGCCCAATAATGGAGATTTCACAACTCTCCTAGGCAGTCTATTCTACTGCCTTGCTGTTCTAACAGGGAATAAGTTTTTCCTAATGTCCTATCTAAACTTACTTTGCTGCAACTTGAAGCCACTGGCCTTCATCCTGCTCTCTGCAGCAAAAGAGAAAAGGTGTTCTTCCTCTTCTTTATGGCAACCCATCAGATATTTGAAGGCTGCCATTATGTCCCCTCTTTGGTACCTTTTCTGCAAGCTGAACATGCCTATTTCCTTCAACCTTGCTTTGTCTAACTTGCCTTCCAAGCCCTTTAACATTTTTGTCACTTGCCTCTGGACCCTCCCTAACTTTTCCATGCCCTTTTTATGTCCTTCATGTCCTTCCCCATGTATTTTTAACAATAGAGAACTTTGAATCAGTGCAGAGGGTTGGATCAGATGACTCTTGAGGCTCCATCCCAAACCTATAATTCTATTTTAAAAGGGAAAATCCTTATTTATGCCAGTCATTTAAAGCCCACAAGGTACACTGGGAAGCTGCTGATAAAAGGCTTTGGCATCACTGTTCCAGTTCACTGCCAGCTACTGTGCTACTTTCTCCTTGATCTGCTCATTCACAGAGATCAATACTTCAAAGTCTGCCAAATGCTCGCAGATTCCAGCCACATCTGTGACAAGTAATATTTTTCCTCAGGCTTTATTATTAAAGGTTTTCTCCCCACATAGCTACTCATAGACTGTGATCAAGTCACCCCTTAACTGGTGGTGAGATACCCAAGAGTTAGCAATTGCAGTGCTGAGTTCCCCCTAAATTCCCCTTGTAAATCTAGCCCTCAGCACTGCAGTACATGACTGATGTAGGAGCCTAAGGACCTAGGCACAAAAACAAATTACCAGGCAGTAATGCAGACTCTCCAGGGTATTTGCCTATATATACATTCTTCAAGTCAAGGGTACTCCCAAGTTACAGTCCATTGAGCTAGTGTGAGTGAGGCCAGCTTCTGTAGCCAACAGCAACCATGGGAGCATGGGAGCATATAGCTTCTGCCACCTCATCTCCCCAGCTTAGCGAGCAAGAACCCATTTACAGTTGGGTCTACTGATGAGGGTAAGAGTCCAGAGTATGGCTTAAACTACATCTCCATATTTGGCAACCTCAACTACACTGCCCAGACTCCCTAGCATACCTATTCTTATCCCTCAGTAAATGAAAACCAACTGTGGCAACTCAGTGAAAAAAGGGGTAACATTCATGCATCCCTGGGCTGAGGGTCTGCACTGAAAAGCTACCTGATCTAGCCACGTTACCATGGTGCTCCACACTAGCCCATTTACTCTACAATTCAGGGAATGCCTATTGGATTTGGCCTATCACAAAAGATGATTGGGCACAAGACTCTTCCTACAAGCCTGTCCTAAATCCTATTTAACCATATTGTCTAGCAGTTCTTAGACACTCTGCCTGAATTGGAACAGGGACTCTGGTGGCATGCAACTGTAGGGGCTGCGCGTACATGGCAGGGAGCACTGGTGATAAGAGATGGCCCAGCTGGGCTGTACTTCTCACCCCTACATGCAGCGCTGGTCAGAACCATGCACTGCCAGGCACCAGCGCCCCCACTCACTGCTGCACCATGGTAGGAGGTGGGGGGGTCCCCACCCTCTCTCACATCCCACAAATGCCACACACCCACACACTGACCCCACAACCCCCCACATACACACACCCCCAATATACCCTAAGGCTCCCCACACACACCGCCACACCCCCTCACAATCCCCCCCACACACATACCTCACCACACACCCCCATGCACACATACACACCCCCAACCACAATATACAAGACTAAGAATTTATTTTTGAATTATTATACAATCACCTCTATATACAGTACGTAAACACAAATTGTGGCATAAATACTTTTTGTAATAAAATTAAAATATGTCACAGGTGTTTGACTTTTACTGTATGTTTTGGGTTTTTTCTGATTCTAAGATGGCAACCCCCGCCCCCCAAAGGAGTATTTCTGGGGGGCAAGGGAAGGACATCTGGTGGCAAAGGTTAGGGGTTAGGGGCAGGACTTCCAGTTCCAAGATGGCAACCAGTGTGCAGGGTCAAAGGCTACCAATTTAGCCCTTGAAAGCTCACCAAACCTTGTTAAGCAGCCGCCCAGCTGAAACAATTGCCTGTCCCTGAATTAGCAGGTATATTACTCTGGAGCCTGGCTCCTTACAGTCCATGCCCTGCAGCCTGCAGTCCACCACACTGCAGGCTTCACTCTGCACTCAGTAACAGCAGTTATGGGCCTGTGTTACAAGCCTACATTCTTAAAGGTACTTTCACATTGAAATGGGAGCTAGGCACCTAAATGCTTTTAAAAATTTAGCTCCAAAATGTCTAAGATATTTTTAAAAAATGAGGCTCAGACATCTAATTCAGTTAGGCCCCAGAGCACTGAAAGGAGCAGCAACTAAATACTTTCAAAAATCTGCCAAAGTTTTTAGATGACAGAGAGGGAACAGTATGAGCATCTAAAAATTCTCAAACTGTGTAACAGAGCTGGCTCATGACACTTGTTTCTGGGTTTCCAAACACTCAAATGTTCTGAATGTTCTTGAGCATGAGCTTGCTTTTGTTAAGACATGTAATACTGCCCTTGCTCTTAGCTCAGGAAACTGTTACTGTACAAAGAACTGTTAGTGTAATGTTAGAAACTGGCACACCAGCAAATGATCTTTCCAGACTCTTAATTCAGTAAAAACCAGAACAAAGGAGCCATTTCTACAGGACACCACTCTCCTGCCTATAGGACCTTGTCTACAAACTACTTCACTTCAGAGCACCCTTTAAAATTCTTCCTAAGATGTTTCTCACACAGGCAGAAGTGCCAGCACTTCATCACAAGCACATTCACAGGGACTCAAAGGGCAGAATGATCACCAGCAGATCACCAAAGTGTAGCTTCAGTAACTCTGAGTTGCCCAGCTATTATGCAGGAGTGATTCTATCACCCTTCTGAGGAGGGAGGAGTAAGTAGAAGGGGGAAGTGTCTGCGCAACTCTGGAGGGTGATGCTATTCATAGAATGGGGGGAACTTATGCAGCTAAAGGAGGATAATAGAATCACTCCTACATAATAACTGGGTACCTTAGAGTTGGTCACAAGCACCCTTTGGTCATGTATTATGCAAAACAAAATTCTGCCCAAAGTCGTTAAGGCAAAGGGAATGTTTGTGGTAAGGTAATCTGTCCCGAAGAGCACAACTAGACAATCTTAAGTAATAAAAGCAAGGCTTTCTATCCTATGGAGATTCAACAGTATAACCTCTGGGCCTTAAGAGTCCTTGGGGTAAAATAAGAGGTAACCTCACAGATTAATGCCAAGGGGATAAATAACCCAATGCCATGTGCTTCCTGTCCATATACAGGACAGGCCCTGACCCTATTAACTCCCTGCCCATTAGCTGGAGAAGCCCTGATCCCACATTCCTCTGGTCCACAAGCTGAATAGTTTTGATTCCACATATTGCTACCCATGGGCTGGGTAGCCCTGACCCCCACTCCCTCCCTACTCCACTTATGAACTGAATAAGCCCTGATCACATATGCCCCCACCCATGGGCTGGACAACCCCTGAAAAAGCATGGCCCCTGCCCATGGGGTAGATGAGCCCTGAAGCAGCAAGCCCTCTGTCAAACAGAAATCATGTTCTCTGGTGTTCTGCATTATACACATTAAATAAAGATGGACCTTGACAAAGAGGGCTCGAAATTTGTGTTCAGATTGCAAAACCACAAATGGAGATCAATAAAATGCAGGATGCATAAGAGCACAGCAAGGATATAGGGGTGTCAACTTCACAGCAATCACAGCACCCCAGCTGCATAGACAATAATAAGATTGTGACCTGTGGAGATAGTAACAATAGCTCTGATAGCCCATGGACTGTATCCTGCCTTCTCTGGCTGCCTTATTCCCTTGTAGGACCCTTTAAAATCTGATGAGTTCTGTACATACCGTTTTTGCCCTGCTTATCAGGGACCGGAGTAAATCCTTGATGCTGTAAGCCTTGTTCCTCTGGAAGTACACACTGGCTTGAGTTTCGTTTGACCTTGTAGTGAATGACAGCATTGGCCAGCCCAGCTCAAGCTCTGGCGGGTGCACATCAGACATGAGTGGGAAGTAGGTGCCAGAAGTTAGTTCAGAAAAGAGGGAGGCCAAGTCACTGGTGTCCCCCTCTTTGGACCCTACTTCACAACTTTTGCTTGCATTTGCTTCTGGGATGCTTTGGCATTTATATTGGCTTATGTACTCCATGTCTAGGGTGGAGAGAAATGGTAGCTCCCGTTCCTCAGCAATGGCTTGTAGATAGCCAGTCTTTCCCTCCTCCAAAAAAGCATCTGTAGCAAGTCTGGCAGTCTCACTGTGCTGCAGCACTGTGTTGCTACTGGGCTCCCTCCACCATGGCTTCTTCAGCTCCTCCAGCCTCCTCTTCAGTGGCCCAGATGATCCCATCCTCTGGAAGCAAGACCCTGCCTCTGCAGCTGGATAACTGAACATGACTAAAGCTCCTGGTACTGAGTCAAGCTGCTTGTTGGTCTCCCTCTGATTTGCTGGCTGGTGATGGCTTTCCTCAGTTCTTTCCCAAATGATTCCTGTAGGTTGTCAGATCTGGGGCACAAACTGCCTTCCCTGAATCAGAATTAGTTGTCTTTAACTGCTTCACGCTCCAGGAGAAGAGCTGGTCTTCTGCAGTCCTGGCTCTCAGGTCTGTTAAATGAAACAAACTGTGATTCTTAGCATCTGCTTGTCCTTTCCATGCAGAGATTTGAATGATAGACTGTTGAGTTCTCCTGTGCAGCAGCTGATTCGAACTTCCCTGATCTGATGCCCAGGTCAGGCCTCCACCCTCACCCCTCTGCCAAGTAGGTGGAACCTGTTGGATCAGTTTCTGTGGTCAAAGTGAAAATATAGATGTTGAAACTTGTTCCAAGCCAAACATACTTCTCAGTGATAATTATAATCAGTTGCAATCATCCCAAGCAGTGAAAGACACAGCTAATCTGAAAACATGGGGAAAAGCTGCTGTTCATTCTTGTCATAGTGTCTACCTTAGGCACCACCGGATTTCTGGAACAGCATATACATGTGGGCCAGAGATTCTAGGTGGAATAGATTAGAATCTGATTTCAAATCACTGTAGGTCTGTCATGAATTTACTGCTCCAAAAGGGCATCTACATGGACTTAGGCGTGAGTCTGTTCCACATGTTCGTATCTTGGAAATCTATGACTGCCTCTACTTTTGTAACACATGCTTATCTGACCACTATGACTGAATCAAAAAAAGCAGCTGAGAAGCAAAACCCACCTGTTGAATTAACTGTTTTTCACCTCTGTGGGTGTCTGGGACTGGTGCCCCACTTCCCATCCCTACTTCTGCTACTGATAGGTGGAACAGAATCAGACCTCAGCTTATATCCCTCAAACTTGTGGGTAGCAGAATCTAAGGGGTCTGAGAATGTACATTTTTTATGCAGGAGTTGAATAATACTGTCTATATTGTGAGTATCCTTAGAATTTGGCAAGCAATAGTGTAACTGAAAGCATGGTGACTACAGCCATAACCCTGGGCACTGCCATTGTGAGAGGGTGCAAAAGCAGTCACTGCCACAGTAGTGGCCGACTGTGCCACTGAAATCAGCATGGCAGAGCCAATGCTGCCAGGTATGCTGGTGACTACTCCAGGTGCAGACCTGCCTTGCTATGCCTCTGTTCGCAAATACAATTGTGATGCCTTGATTGTAGTTGGAAAAGGCTCTTTTATATGTCACAGCCACTCTGCTACCTAACAGAATGTGTCACTGCTACATGAACACCACTTTGCTCCTGAAGAAAAGTTGTGTGTGATACAGCTGGTTCTCAGTAGTTAGGAGTACCTATGACTACTCTTGCTTCATGCATACACTGCCAAAAAGGAAAGTAAATAGCTCAGATTTGTACTGCATATGGGGAGTGATAGCAAAAGCCCTATGTATGCATATGTATATTGGATTATAGTACTACTGGTCACTTTTGGCATTGATTATATTTAAATATTTCCATTTACCAATCTCAAAGCACTTTCTAGTGGTGAGAAAAGTGTTGTTACAGGTGGGGTTAAGCTATACTGAGACTGCTCAGTTTATCTTCTGGCCTTCACTGATAATATTTGTTAGAGGGTGTTTCTGTCCAAAAGAAATGCAAATGCTAAGCTGCATAGGATTCTGAATTCTCTGGATGGATGGCTTTGGTGGGTATTACTTGGGTATTGTACTTGGGAAGATAAAGTACAGACAGTTCAGGCCTTGTTCAGTACCATTCAGACAGTTCTGAATAGCCATGCTTTACTACAAATAGATGTTTCTGTGTGAGTCACAAGGCTGGATCATACCAAAGACAGTAAGCAGGTATTCAGATTTGGCAGTGCTGGGTATTATAAACCACCTCCCAGCTCTTGCCATAGCGAAGTACTTTACTTTTAAGGAAATATTGTTGCTTTGGGAGTGGTGGGTGGAACCTGTTATGTAGCTATTGCTCAAAAGCTGTGGCTGGATGTCAGTAGCATTTAGTGTACATGAAGCCTGCCAAGCTGGTCTGAAAATATCAAAGAGACTGTGCTGAGAAAAGTTTCCAAGCATCAGGTAATCTCCAGTGTGTCACCCTTGGTACAGCACTGTTGTGTTGGCTGACTGACATCCGGCCATGGTTTCTGAGCAATGTAAAGTACTTTGCTGTGGCAAAAACTAAGAAGCACATAGTAATAACACTGCAGAACCTCACCTTTAGCAACTCCTCACAGTCAAGGATGATTGTCTTCCATGATTGTCTTATCTGTGGGTCCAAAGATGTCTGACGAGGTCTATCAGCGATTGACAGACTCTGCTGCAATCCAGGCACGTGTTTCCATATGGGATGGGTGGCTCCAGATTCTTGATTTGATCTGCAACATGCTATTTCTGCCACTCCTGCTTTTCTACCTCCTGTTATCATCATAAGGTTTCAAAATATGGAGATCCTTGCAGCAGACTCTTTTTTCATTTGGGGCAGTCCTGGGTGATAGTCTCTCATGAGTTGATGTTGCATTTTTTAAAGTTGATTTTGAGGATGTCCTTGATGCAATTTCTCTTCCCTCCTCTTGAGCTGAGCCTTGACCAAGGTGGGAGAATGAAAATTTGCTTCAGGATCTGGATTCAGACATCTGGATGATGTGGCCAGCCAGCAAAGTTGATGTTGGATGATCATTGCTTTGCTGCTTGTGGTGTTTGCTTGCGAGAGAATGCTAATGTAGGCAGTGTTGGTGGTACTTCTTTAACAACTTGAGGTGTTACCTGTACATTTTCTATCTCTTAGCTCTGTACAGTAAGGTGGGGATCATGACTTCTTGATAAGCCAGGAACTTGATTTAAGATCTGATGTTGTGATCTTTGAACACCCATTTCCGGAGGCATCCAAAGACTGCACTTGCACATTTGAGGCAATGTTGGATTTCTTTGTCGATGTCAGCCTTCTGTGAGAGACAGCTTTCAACATATGGGAAATACTCAGACTCCAGAGTCTCACCATGAATTTGAATGACTGGAGATGGGGACTGCTCATTAAGAGCTTGTTGATGGAGGACTATGAATCTATGACTTCAGTCTTCTGACTGTTGAGAGTCAGTTCCGTTTTCTTGTATACCTCAGTAAACATGGTGATGATTGCCTGAAGGTCTGCTTCTGAGTGAGCACACACTACAGCATCATCAACATAACAGAGCTCAATGATTGAGGTTGGGGTGGTCTTGGTTTTGGCTTGGAATCAGCTGAAAGTAAACAGCTTACCATCCGTTCAGTAGTCTAGTTCCACCCCGGCTAGAAGCTTGTTGGTGGTCAGATGTAGTGTAAGGAACAGAGTGTTTAAGCAATGATACAGCCTTGCTTAAATTCCATCTTAACCTCAAAGGGATCTGTGACAGATCCATTACTGAAAACTACTGCTCACATACCATTATGGAGCAGGCAACGAATGGTGATGAATTTCAGTGGGCATCCATACTTCAGAAAGATCCTACACAACGCTTCTCAGCTGACAGAGTCAAAGGCTTTTGTAAGGTTAAAGAAGGCTGTGTAGAGAGGTTTATGTTGTTCCTGGCATTTTTCCTGCAGCTAGAGGCACTGCTGTGCCTCTTGATGCCCTAACCGGCGTTTCTCAACCCATGTGTGACAGCTGAAAATTACGCCTGTGTGATAAAGGTGCTTGCTGAAGGCTTTATGAAGATTAAACCAAGTGTTTTTCTGTCATTTGTTCAGATATTAAGCTATACGTTGTTGCTAAGAGCCTAATTAAAGTTTAAGATGTAGTAAGGTCTTGTATAAAGTAAAGCCTAGTAAATTTAGCAAAATTTAGTAGTAAGGCCCTGTGGTATAGTTAAAAATAACCTTATCAAAAGAATGCAAGGCTTGTACTGCTATTGATCAGTCTAAGGACAGCTGAAGTAAAAAGCATCTAAATGGCTGTAACTTATCAGCACAGCTCAGAAATTATAAATTGGCTGGCACATCCAGAAATGATTTAGAAGGAAGATGTAGCTCTGTGAAAGAAGTACTGATTTAAGATTAGCTGCTGGCTTCAATCAGTGGGCCCGCGGACCTTGAGGAGCCCAAGGAGTAAATACCAGGGTCCTTCCCAGTACCGCTCGGACAGTGCTGACTGGGGACACCCGACTTCGCTGAGCTTTGTGGAAAAGAAACTTGTTGTACATCGGCAGTCCCCTCTGATGCCTGATAAGTTGCTGACGCAAATTATTATAGTCTGTCTGTTGTTTTGTTATCTGTGCGTAGTCGTGTTTTTATTAAGTCAATAAACCTTTCTTACCTTTCCACCCCCGACCATACTCTGAATCCCGAACCCTCCGCAGGCAGCTAGGACACCATGGATCACAACCCAAAAGTGGATTGCAAGAATATGTGACAGGGTCGCAAACAAACTTTAAAAATGGGTCAAACTTAAAAAAAAAAAAAATCTCCTTTAAAAGAGAAAAATGTGGGAAACCATGGGTTTTCCCTTGCAGACTGGTAGAGTTTCAGCCTGCCAGGGGCTGCTTGGGGGTCCTCCATGTGGCAGAATACCATTTCTGTCTCTCCCCAAACTCTGCTGACAATTTGGTTACCATGGTCACTGCAGAGAGCAGACCCCTCTGGCCCCATGGGCTTCAGGTAACCCTGAGTTGTAACCTGAGCTGGATACATTCCAGTCCAGCCCGCCCCGTGCAGATCTGGGGGCACATGCCCACTCCCATGCCCTCCTGGACCGGCAGTGTGTGGCGGTGTGCAGTGGCAGGAGCCCCCCTCCCGAGTCCCGCAGCCCCTGCACTGGTTGGGCAGCTTGCCCCAGGCCCAGCCCCAGCCCCAATCTCTCCCTTGCTATGGGGGCATTGATCTTCCCCCTCATGCATCTTACTTCCCCCTTCCGCCCACCACAATAGACTTACCAGCTGGAGGCAGCTGTGTCCAGCGTGGTCGAGGACTGCTGCCTGTTTAGTCTATGGCCAAATCTCTGAATTAACACCAAATCTCTCCGAATTGATTTGGAGGCTTCTGGTTTGATTTGGAGCTTTTAATGGGTTTCCCGATTCAATCCAGATTTGGAGATTAGGCCACTGAATCTGGCCAAATCAAATCGGCTACCAAAGCTTCACGCAGCCCTACCATCCTGAGCCATCTCCTTCCTCTTGGCTAAAGAGCTCCTCCTGGAAACTCAGAATCTCACCACCTGCCTCCCACCAGTAGGCTGATCCAGCCTTGTGATTCCCATATAAAAGTATACAGT